TGCAGCCCTCACAGGGAAAAGGAAAAGATGAAAGCGAGAGGTCTGATACAAGGGTGACTCCAGATAAGGCCAGTTCCAAGGAACCAAACAAGTCAATGGAGGTTGCCCCTATCCAAAAGAGGAAATATAAGACCAAATCAACCTGCCCAGTAGATGATGATGGGGAGGCAGGACCCTCACAGGCAGCCAACCCGGAGCCAGAAATCATCACTGAGTCCTTATCGTATGACAACCTCCGGAAATTACGGTCAGATGTCATTCGTCACCCGAATGAGCCCATACTGACCTGGATGATTCGAGTCTGGGACTCCACGGGTGATGCCATAAACCTTGATGGCGGTGAAGCAAGGTTCTTGAGGTCTATTGCCCAGGATGTGGGCATTGAAGAGGCATTTGTGGAGAGAATCAAAGCCCCTGTCTCTCTGGGCACGGCTGCTGGACGCTGTGAGAGAGAGGTTCGTTTACAGAGAGGCTTTGCAGGCAGACCATTTGGTGAAGAGCTGGAATACCATGGAGGAGGGGATCCGACGCCTGAGGGAAATGGCACTGTTGGAGGTTCTGTTTGGAAGGGATATGCAAGCTAATCACGATCCTGCAAGGTTAGATGTACACCATACATGTGGTGGACCTTCATACGTATGGGGCCATCTGTACACGTCAGTTACTTGACATCATTGGAGGCTGGGGAAAAGAGTGAGCCAGTGGCATTTATAGCAAATAAACTTCGGATGTACGACAGTATGGTTCAAGGATCACTACTAGCCTGCGTTTCCTCCGTAGAGACCTCGATCAATAACCTCACTAACATAGCTACAAAATTACAAGATCAACAGGAGAAAATCCTAGAAAAGATTGAGAGAAACAGTTCCCAGGTGGCACCAGTGAGAACCGGGCGCCCCCCAGCTAGAGAGGGTAGACAGACCTCACGAACTGAGCTGTGGTATTTCCTATCTGGCCATGGAGAAGACATGAGACAGAGGGACAGGAAACCTACCCATGTCTTGGCAGCCCAAGTACAAGAGTTGAAGGACCAGAGAAAAACAAAGTCCATGAAAGTGAGTGCAGTGCCGGTATCCCGTGGGCAGGGATCTGACCCACTAGAAGGTACCTCCCGCTGGTATTTGCAGACGGAAAACTGTGACGAGCAGGATAGAGACCAGTATTAGAGGGGCCCTGCCTCTAGCCAGGTAGAGGCATGGGACAACCGTGTCTATTGGACGGTGTGGATCCGATGGCCTGGAACATCAGACCCACAAGAATATAAGGCTTTGGTTGACACTGGTGCTCAATGCACGTTAATGCCCTCAGGACATGTGGGACCAGAGGCTATTGCCATTTCTGGGGTGACAGGAGGGTCGCAGCAGTTGACCGTGTTGGAAGCTGAAGTGAGTTTGACCGGGAAGGAGTGGCAGAAACACCCCATTGTGACTGGTCCAGATGCCCCATGTATCCTGGGCATTGACTACCTTAGGAATGGGTATTTCAAAGACCCCAAGGGACATAGATGGGCTTTTGGAATAGCTGCTGTGGAGACAGAGGCTGCTAAGCAGTTGAATTCACTACCTGGCCTCTCGGAGAACCCTTCTGCTGTGGGACTGTTGAAGGTTGAGGAACAGCGAGTGCCAATTGCCACTACAATAGTGCACCGTTGGCAGTACCGAACAAACTGAGACTCTGTGATCCCCATCCATAAGATGATCCATGAGCTGGAGAGCCAAGGAGTGATCAGCAGGATCCACTCCCCTTCAACAGCCCCATCTGGCCTGTGCGTAAGTCCGACGGAGAATGGAGACTGACTGTGGACTATCGTGGCCTGAATGAAGCCACCCCGCCGCTGAGTGCTGCAGTTCCAGACATGTTGGAGCTCCAGTACGAGCTGGAGTCTAAGGCAGCGAGGTGGTACGCCACTACTGACATCGCGAATGCATTCTTCTCCATTCCCTTGGCAGCAGAGTGCAGGCCGCAGTTTGCTTTCACGTGGAGGGGTGTGCAGTACACGTGGAACCGACTGCCCCAGGGGTGGAAACACAGTCCCACCATCTGCCACGGATTGATCCAGGCTACACTAGAGAAAGGTGAAGCCCCAGAACACCTGCAGTACATTGATGACATCATCGTATAGGGGGACACAGCAGAAGAGGTCTCTGAGAAAGGAAAGAAGATCATCCAGATTCCCCTGGAAGCTGGGTTTGCCATTAAAAAGAGTAAAGTCAAGGGACCTGCCCGAGAGATCCAGTTCCTGGGAGTAAAGTGGCAAGATGGACGTCGTCAAATCCCGACTGAAGTCATCGATAAAATCACAGCAATGGCCCCACCAACTAGCAAGAAGGAAACACAAGCTTTCCTGGGTGCCATAGGTTTTTGGAGAATGCATATCCCCGAGTACAACCAGATTGTAAGCCCTCTCTATCTGGTAACCCGCAAGAAGAATGATTTCCAGTGGGGTCCTGAACAACAACAAGCATTTGAACAGATTAAACAGGAGATTGCCCATGCTGTAGCCCTTGGGCCAGTCAGGACAGGACCAGATGTGAAGAATGTGCTCTACTCTGCATCTGGGGATAAGGGTCTCTCCTGGAGCCTCTGGCAGAAGGTGCCTGGCGAGACCCAAGGCTACCCACTTGGATTCTGGAGCCGAAGCTACAGAGGGTCGGAAGCCAATTACACTCCAACAGAAAAAGAGATCCTAGCAGCTTATGAGGGAGTACAAGCTGCCTCAGAGGTGATTGGCACAGAAGAACAGCTCCTCCTGGCACCTCGGCTGCCGGTGTTGAGTTGGATGTTCAAAGGGAAAACGCCCTCTAATCATCATGCCACTGATGCCACCTGGAGCAAATGGACCGCCCTGATCACGCAGCGTGCCCGCATTGGAAACCCAAATCGCCCTGGGATCCTAGAAATCATCACGAACTGGCCGGAAGGTGAGGATTTTAGTCTAGCAGAAGAAGAAGAAGGGGAGCAGGTGGTACGGGTAGAGGAAGCCTCAGCATACAACCAACTACCAGAAGAAGACATTCGCTATGCACTCTTTACTGATGGTTCCTGCCGTATTGTAGGGATGAAACGTAAATGGAAAGCAGCCGTATGGAGTCCCACATGACAAGTTGCAGAAGCTATGGAAGGAGAGGGTGAATCAAGCCAATTCGCAGAGCTCAAAGCTGTCCAGTTGGCATTGGACATTGCTGAACGAGAGAAGTGGCCAAAACTTTACCTCTAAACGGACTCATGGATGGTGGCCAATGCCCTGTGGGGGTGGTTGGACAGATGGAAGAAGACCAATGGGAAACGTAGGGGAAAACCCATCTAGGTCGCTGATATATGGCAAGACATTGCTACCCGGGTAGAGAAGCTGATTGTGAGGGTCCGCCACGTAGACGGACACGTGCCCAAAAATCGAGCCAATGAAGAACATCGCAACAATGAACGGGCAGACCGAGCTGCACAAGTTGAGGTGTCACAGGAGGACCTAGACTGGCAGCACAAAGGCAAACTGTTCTTAGCACGATGGGCTCATGATGCCGCCGGCCATCAGGGCAGAGATGCCACCTACAGATGGGCACGAGACTGAGGGGTGGATCTAATCATGGATGCTATCTCTCAGGTTATCCATGACTGTGAGACATGCGCTGCCATTAAACAGGCTAAGAGACTGAAACCCCTGTGGTATGGTGGACGGTGGAATAAATACAGGTATGGGGAGGCTTGGCAGGTTGATTATATCACACTGCCACAGACCCGTCAAGGTAAGCACTATGTGCTCACCATGGTGGAAGCCACCACTGGATGGCTGGAGACGCATCCGGTGCCCCACGCCACTGCCAGAAATACCATCCTGGGCCTCGAAAAACAGGTCCTGTGGTGGCACGGCACCCCAGAGAGGATTGAGTCAGATAATGGGACACACTTCAAAAATAGTTTAGTTACCATCTGGGTGAAAGAGCATGGCATTGAGTGGGTCTATCACATACCATACCATGCAGCAGCTGCCGGGAAGGTTGAACGGTGCAATGGACTGTTGAAAACTACCCTGAAAGCATTAGGTGGAGGGACTTTCAAACACTGGGATCAACACCTAGCAAAGGCTACATGGTTAGTCAACACTAGAGGCTCCGTCAATCGAGCCAGCCCTGCCCAATCAGAGTCCCTTCACACTGTAGACGGGGACAAGGTCCCAGTGGTTCACATGAGAGGTATGTTAGGTAAAACAGTTTGGGTTAACCATGCCTCGAGCAAAGGCAAATCCATTCATGGAGTTGTCTTTGCCCAAGGACCTGGTTGCACATGGTGAGTGATGCAAGAAGATAGAGAAACCCGGTGCATACCCCAAGGAGATATTATCTTAGGGTAAACAGGTCATAACTCTACCCGTATTTGTATCTATATGTATTTGTGAATATGTACATAGTCTAGAATGATGTATGTATATATGGAGTTAAAAAAGGTTCAATGTGATAGATGTATGGTGGCATGGAAAAGGGAAAAAAAAAAAATTAGGGGTGGATAATGTCATAGTTCTGATTTTAGCAAAGAATTTTTTTTTCTTCCCTTTCCCTCTGCTGTGTGTGTGTGTGCTCCGTATATTGCCCATTGGGTGAACAAAAGAATCGGCCTGGCCCAGTAATAGCCAAGAGATTAGTCTTGACAACGAAGGAGAAAGAGTTGAGGGGGAGCTGGTGTGTGGGGCTGGAAGGAGGTGGGGAAGGGAGGTGTGGCTGGTGTGTGTGTGCCAGTGAGGTCAGGACCTGCAGTGGGCTGCAGAGCTGCCTAGTTTGCTTCTTTTCTTCCTGTTGGAGTGGAGTTTGTTGCTGTTCTCTTCTCAGCTGTTGCTGGCTGCAGGCCCTGCTTAACACTAATCCTAATCAGCTGAAGTTCGTGAGTTTTCTTCCATTGGGAGAACTTTCTGTTTTATTGCTGTTTTTTTTCTTTTCCTTTCCTTCCCCCTTCCCCCCCCCAGTCCCTCTCTCTCTCTCCTTCCCCAGTGTGGGAAGGGGAACCGAGTTTGTTTTTTTTTTTTGGTTTTTGGTTTGTACCTGGAGAGTACTGTTTTGTTTTTTTTTTCCCCATCCCACGGGGCGGTGACTAGGGATTCCATAGCGTCGCCTGGTGATGGGCACTGGACATTACAAGTTCTGCTTCCTCCAGTGATCCAACAGCGCCACCTGGTGACTACAATAGGACACTACAAGTTTTTGCATCTTCAGTGACCCGACGGTGCCCCCTGCTGACTGTGGTTGGAACTACATCAAAGGGTGCAAAAAAATTGAACTGTTTGATTTTCTTCTTTGTTCTTAAAGGGGATTATTGGTGTGTATAGGAGTATTGCTTAGTTATTTTACTTGGGTTTTTTTCCGTGTTCCTGTTAATACACACATACCTTTAATAAAGGGCTGTTATTTTCCCTTTTCCATAATTTGTTTTCCTTCAATCAAAGCCTCTTAATTTTGGATTTATAATTGCTTGGAAAGAGAAGTTTGGGTCTTTTCCTCCTAATCCATCCTCAGCAAAAGACCCTTGTCTCATTTAAACTGGGACACTTGTCATGTGGGTGAGTGTGGTATTCCTCTAAGGTGAGATACCCCCCAGTCTGTGAGAAATGTTTTAACTTTTGAAGAACAATATGCAGGACCATTATCTGTCTTTATAGTTTTTGGGATTCCCAAAACTGCGAAGCAGTTAAGCCAGTGTCTGATGACTTCTCTTTCCTTTTCCCTGGTGTGGCATTAATATACTTAGAGTGTGTCTGCAGTGACGTGTACATACTTTAGCTGACCGAATTCAGCTATATGAGTAATATCAGTTTGCCATATCTCATTAGCTGCTATGCCCCGGGGATTAACCCCTTCTTTAGATGGCATTGGGGTAAATTGTTGGCAGTCAGGACATGACATGAAGATATCTCTGGCCTGATCCATTGTAAGTTGGAATTGCCTCTTTAAAGAGTGTGCATTCTGATGGAAGAATTGGTGAGAGAGTTTGGCCTGTTCAAGAGTTTTGGGAACAGTAGCAATCATAGCGGTGGCATCTGCTCTTTGATTGTCCTCCGCTATGGGTCCTGGAAGCTCTGTGTGGGAACAGACATGCATTACATAAAAGTCAGATTTTCTCTGATTGACAAGGAACCATAGAGTACGTATTTCTGAGAAGTATGGATTAGTCACATCTCGAAGGAAGGAGGTTTTGAGATGTGAGTCTAATCCTGCAGCATAACATGAATCAGTAATGACATTCAGAGGCTCATTACAAAATAATTCAAAGGCTATGCAAATAGCAGGAACTTCTAACACCTTTACAGAACCTTTGTCAATGGTCTGTATTTGACTGCTCCAGTGGCCTCACAGCCTTTTTTGATCATCCAGATGCGTCAGTAAAGACAGTTGTGCCTGGTACTGGTTGTGGTCGGCAGCGACGCGTAGCCATTAAAGGTAAATTCCCAATTTCTGCCCAGAGTCTGTTTAGGAAAGTGAATGGAAATGTCATCCTTGTAGTCTGCCAACGCAGCCCGAAATCCAACGTCCTCTGCAAGAAACCAGTTCAAGTTGTCTTTTGTTGTTGGGATGTAGATAATCTCTGGGTCCCATCCATCCATCTCCTGTAGCCATTCTCGACCTTTAACAACAAGCTTGGCAAACATGCCATTAATAGTCCAGGCAGTTTTAGGTGGAGAATGAGGCAGAAACAATCATTCCAGAATTCACAAAGGGTCAGACTCCATCTGTTCCCACTGAAAAAGGACAGCAAAGGGTTGAAAATTGCTGGATACAAGGGTCAGGCGAATATGTAGATCTGGATGTCGTCGTCTACCCTGTCTGTTTACAATAGCCTGCAAGCATACCTTTAGAACCTGTTTTGCTTCTGTTCTTAACAACCGAACAGAAGTTAAGGCCAAGTCACCTTTAAGTAACTCAAAAAGGGGGTGCAGTTCCTCTGTGGTGATGCCTAGAATTGGCCAAAGCCAGTTAATGGCTCCTAACAGCTGCTGTAAGTCATTTAGTGTCATAGTGTCCATTACCTTAAGAGTCAGGGGCTGTTGCATGATCTGCTGCTTGATTTTCCATCCAAGGTAGGCCCAAGGCTGAGTTCATTGGATCTTTTCAGGAGCAATCTGTAACCCTGCTTCTTGAACAGCATTGGTTAGCCAAGTCATTATTGATTGCAACTCAGTTTCTTGGGCGGCAGCCATTAATATGTCATCCATATAGTGGTATATGACAGCTGAAGGGTAAAGCTTCCAAACAGGGTGTATTGCATTAACTACCACTGTTTGGCAAATGGTTGGACTGTTAAGCATGCCTTGTGGCAATTCAACCCAGTGACATCTCTGCATGGGGTCTGTGTGATTTAAAGTAGGAATGCAGAAGGCGAAGTAAGGGGCATCATCCGTGTATTCGGGCTTAATTAAACACTGCTACTTTTGGTCTGTGTTTGGCCCAGCCACCTGTGAGAGTCTGTTCTTTTCCTGCCAAGTTATGAGAAAACAAGCACTGATTAATGAGAACTTTGTCCTTGAAGGAAGCATCTTGTATAAACTGAAATTAATTGGGGTCTCACCATTGGCTGACAGCCCTCCAAGGGCATTTGAAGGAGAAAGTGAAAAGGATGATGATGAAGCAAGCCCCCAGACTCATTTAGGAAAGACCTCCCAAGGTGTAGCATGCAGGCATGGGGAAATTCCAATGTACACACACATGCACAGAAGGGGTACCACTTACATAATGGGGGGAGGGACCAAAAGCCACACCTACCCAGGTAGATGTCACCTGCTAATTTTATAAAAAGAAGATAGCTCATACTGGGAGTGGAGTCAAGCTTCACATGGAAGACAACGTTGCCTTTTGTGGGGACACCCGCTATCTTGTGAGCCTGCTGACACTCCGAGGATGCAGGTTCTCCTATGGGGAATTCTAGTCATTCTGGGGTCGGTAAGACAACCTTGTAAGTAACACCTGCTTGAGTGGGGGAATTTACTGAGGGCTTATTTCTCTCCTCTTTCCTGTCTCTCATTTCGTTGGCCACTTCCTTGTGATAAATAAGCAGCTAGGTAGGATAGCCCCCAAGGATCTGGACTAGTTGCCAGAAGCCCAGAAGAAACATATTCTGAAAGTATAGCAGAGTTTAGAGGACTTAGAAGAGGGGGTAAGTAGTACCTACTACACTCGTAGTCAAACTGTGGGACAGAAAGCTAAAAGCAAAACTGGGGTTAAAGCTAAAGCTAAAACCGATGCCGGTCATGTGGTTGCTCCCTTACGAGAAGTGGTAGCACCCACAGGTAACCTAGTAAAGGTAAAAATACCTTTTTCATCAAGTGATCTGAACAGCTGGAGAGCTAACATCTGAAAAGTTAAAAACTTTGGGGAAGATCCAAGTAAAGTAGCTGAGAGATTTGAACTAATTGTGAAAAACCAGGATATTGATTGGCAAGATGTGCACCTGATGTTATCAGAGCTAACAGAGACAGAAAAAGAACTTGTAATAAAAACCAAAAGGAGTCATTTGCAGGGGCAAATTGCAACTGGTACCTTACAAGGTACCATCGATGAACATTTCCCATGAGTGAATCCTAATTGGGATCCAAATAATCCAGCCCAGTATAGATCACTGGTCAGGTACAGATTGTTAGTATGATTGGGGTTGGAAAGTGCCATACCCGAAGCAGTAAATTGGGTCGCCTTATACGATGTGAAACAAGGGCAAGATGAGACCCCAACTGCATTCTTAGACAAGTTTAGAGCAGCTATAAGAAAATACACAACTCTAGATTCGTCCTCAGATGCAGGTAAGCAGCAGTTAGTGGGTTTGTTAATGGGACAAAGTAGCCCTGATATTAGAAAAAGATTGCAGAAAATTAAAGAACCTGATAATAGGGACTTAGAGACATTAATAGGAGAAACTTGGAGAGTGTACAACAGAGATAAAAAGGGAGATAGGAAATTGGTGAGGGTAGTAGTAGCTGCTATAACTCAAAATTCGAATTTTCCAGGACCAAGTTTCAGAAGTCGAGGCCGAGGCCAGATCACACGAGGGAGAGGAAGCTTTCCCTCCCAGCAAGCAAGAATAGGACAAAACCAGTGTTCCTATTGCCTAGAAACAGGTCATTGGAAGCGAGACTGCCGTAAGTTGGCAAATAGAAACTCAGAAGGAACTGTCATCACTCATCAGAATAGTGAATGAGGGGGACCGGTTAATACATGCCTACAGCTTTAACTTGCTCTAATACTAAAGGAGGCCATTGTGCCTGATGTTGAGGGTTAGAAAACTGTCCTGTGCCAGTAAGGACATCACCACCATTTCCATATCGGGGGTCATCTTGAGGCCATTGCAAATTTCTTAATCCCTGTGTTGCAGCCCTCTTAAACCAGACTGACTGGAATACTGAGAATTGCACCGGGGGAAATAGAATCTGGGCAAGCATCTGTATATCATATGGGGTCATTTCCTCCATAGCCAATAGCCTAAGCATACGCATAGTAGGGGCCGAGTTGGACCCATACTGCACTGCTGTTTTCTGTAACTCCTGAATCACCTTCCATGAAAACGGGCGGTGCTCATCAGGCTGTCCATTAGCTGGATCCCCCCTCACCACCGGGAAAGCCCCAGCCTCCCCACTTGGTAAGGAGGCTACCTGATGAGAAGTGCCCTCCAACGGGGCATCAATCTGATCTGCTAACTCCCAATTTCCCTCTTGCATCGCCCGAGCTTTAACCTTTTGTCAGAATGTTAAAGGATCACGGTGTCGGACGGTAACTTGTGCAGGGGGCAGCTTCCACTTTCGAGAAGGCTTATGACGGATGATACTGCTTTGTGCCTTTTGTGATTGTACAGGCACCAGAACATCCTCCTCACTTTCATCAGAATGGCTATCAGATCCCGATGGCAGAGGAGGATACATAGGAGGCTCAGAAGGCTCTGGGAGGTGTTTATGAGCCTTCTTGCATTTGGCTTTGCTGATTTTTGCAGGAGAAGTTTTTGCAAATTCCTGCGGAGATTTATAGGACCTACTCTTGACCGCAGGGGACCTAGGTCCGTATATCTCATCTGAATCGTCCCATAACAGCCCCCGTTTTGCTGAACGAAACCCTTTTACTTTTGAAAGTTTCGCCCCCCCGCCCTTAGAGGGGAGAGGAGGCGAAACTAAGGGAGTTTCACTCTCACAAGGTTCGAGCGGAGGGGCCGAGGGAGTCACAGCAGGAGAGCTGGCAGCAGCAGGATTTACAGGGGGAGGATTTGTGATATCAGGAGTTACAGAGTTCCCAGAACTTTTCCCTTGTCGTTCTTACTAGCTACACCGGAGTTTTCCCGCCTCCAACAGCTATCTCGAAGCTGTCTTTCTCCGTCCTCGTTCGGGACGTGTAACTATTTACTTGACCAAGTTAGAGGACTGACTTACAGAAATTACTTTACACTGTAAGGCAGTTTAACGAAGAGAAAATTAAGCAACAACAAAAGCAGAATAGCAAAACAGTAGTACGGCAATATAGCAACTAAAGTTCGCAGCTGCAGGGGTTAAAAAACCCCAGCCACAACTTTGTTACTCAGCTATCATTGTTACCTAGCAACGGGCCAGCAGGCGCAGCTCAGCTCAGATTCCTCAGCTCGACTTGGCTGGCGAAAGCAGGGGGGGGGCAGACGCCGCAGCAAAAGCAGAGGCGGAGTTTTCAAAAAGCAAGCAGTGAGTGCAGACTCCAAGTTCGATCTCCTCAGCTCCGAGTTAGCAAGCTAAGCTACTGCGGCAGATGATTGCAAAAAGCCTGGCTGCTCTGTAACAAAACCGGAGGCAGAGGTAAGGCGGAGACCTCTCCTCTTTTGGTTCAGCAGAAGAGCAGCGGCAGAGGCTGCCGCAGCAAACGGCGCGGGCCCCAAGCCCCGGGTCTGCCGTGCTGCGTCTCTGTTTCGTCTTCTGCGGATCGCCGGTCAGGGCTCGCTCGGCGGCAAAGTCCAGATCTTCTTTTTCGCTACTTCCTCTCTTCACTCCTCCGTTGATCGCATCAGGGTCTCCAATTGTCGTGGGTCGAGGCGGGACACGACACAAAACCCTTGTGGATCCAGAGGCTGGAACACTTTATTGCACAATGTCTGCTACTTTTATACACTTTTTAGGCTACACATGTCAACTCTCCACTGGTTCCCACATACATAAATATTCTTCCATTGGCCACTAACGGTGTTATATAACTCTGCTTACTGTGCATGTCACGAAACACATTTTGCTGTGTTCAGCACATTTTACCGGAAAACCATATTGTTACAACTTCCGGGTCCGGGCGTAATTCTCCCCTGAACAAAGGTTCCTGCTAACTTTAACTCTTCCCGAATCCCCCAGGCCAGCTGGGGGAGAACCACCACAGTAGTCCATACTGATATATCGATAAACGACACCAACCTGTCATTCCTAGTGTTGCCTAAAAGGCTGTGGAGGAAAAAAAGACTCCAGGCCAAATTAGGTAGGAGGTAAGATAAGGATATAAAAGGCTTTAATGAGCCCCCAGGCTTCCAGGAATACCACCACCCTGTGCTCCCAGATACAGGTATTTACAATTTTTATAATGATTTTCACCCAATCCCCATCCGTCCACCGCCCAGGTTCTACCCCCCAACACACCTTTCGGGAATTGACTCTGGGGGTGTTTTGTGACCTCCTCTTCTTCATCTTCCTCAGAGCACATGCTGTTCTTAGAGGCCTTCCAGAACTCTGGGCCTGAAGGTTGTTGCGTCTATGACTATATCTTCTTGCACAGATTTTAGGGTGTTTTCTACAATTCTACCTTGAAAATGAAACTGAACAGGTTAATGGAATTTAGGGGAATTGATATGGGAATGGGTAACAGGGTTTGCTATGTGTAATTGCTGTGTTAAAGGGTAAGGGATAATGTGTTGCTACTTTAAAATCTACATTTACTATATAACTACTTCTAAAATCTACAAAATTAAAAAATCAAAACTACAAGGCATCACTAGAAAGGCTCATAGATCTCTCACCATTTCTGGTCTTGGCATCTGGCAGATAACTTCCTTTCTTGCTGTTCCCAGGGAACGTTGTCTATCGGAGACTTCATATCCCAGATATACCACTTTTTCTTGCACCAACTGTGCTTTCTGTTGGGACACTCGATAACTGTTTAAACTCAAGAAGTTTAAAAGAGAGATTGTCCACTGCACACACACTTCTTCTGTTACGGTTGCTATTAATAAGTCATCTATATATTGTAGAAGAATGCTATCTCCCGGTGGCTGCTGCCATGTTCCAGCTCTTTGGCTAGTTGGTTACTGAACAAAGTGGGACTATTTTTGAATCCTTGTGGTAAAACCATCCAACTTAATTGCATCTTTCTCCCCCTATTGACAGATTCCCATTCAAAAACTGATGAACGCTGAATGGATGGGAAGGGGGAAACCCCGAAACAGAGGCTTTCCTTTTACCCCTGCTCCGAGGGGGAGCAGTGCTCTCCCCCTGGTCCCCCCATCCCGCTGCGCCTCATGGCCCTACCGAGGGACCACGGGACCGTCAGGCAGGCAGCAGGGAATGCAGGCAGAGAGAGTTTATTCAAATTTCCTGCAGCTTATAAGGCTTCTGGGAGGAAGGGAGGTGTTACAAACCAACCAATTTCAGGAAAGGGTTAACAGCCAATAGATGAGTTTCCAGTTATCTCTCAGACATTCCAGGGATACAGTGGGGGGTTTTGGGAACAAGAAAGTTTACACAAAGGGTCACAAGCACCATGTTGGAAACATGGTCACTTCAAGAACACCACAAACCTCTGCACTCTTTATATCCTAAAAGCATATTGCAACATCTCACCCTTTTTTGTTTTGTAAAGCTGAATAAACCTTCATTGTTTTAAAACTCCTGGCAGACGTGCAAAGACACAAACAACAAACAAAAAAAAAATTTAAAACAAGCAAATGGGTTTTTCTGGCTGTATTACTTAATTTTCCCTGTTTATAATTACTTTTCAATGCTTAAAACCTGCACATTTTACCCCATTGATAGGTCTTTGTTTTATTAAAGATATTTTATATTAGTTACACAGGTTTATATTTGCAAAATTTTGTCATCTAATTTAAAACTGTTTTCATTCTGTTTCATTTACTGCTGGATAGAACAACACATACTGCAGTTTAAAGAGTTCATTAGAGTCAGTTTTTTGCAGGAGGGATTTACCGATGTGTGGAAGGAATGCTGCTTCTGTTTTCTTTGTTTTTCACTGCAGTTTTGGTTTGAGATCGGGGGGAGGGGAGGTCCTCGTGGCACGTTGTTTGCTCTTTCTCCGGCCATGCGGCGCAGGGCTGCGGAGGAGGTACTTTTTCGGCGGCTCCCTCGGCACATGGGGCAGGGGTACGCGGTTCTGCGGGGGGTCCCCGGCGCTGCTTGCGGGAAAGGGATGCTCTTTCAAGCGACCGGGTCTCGGCGTGGTAGGACGGCGGTTGATGTCGGACTGTCCCAGTGTGCATGGTGGTGTTGCTTCTGTCTTGGCCCCGGGACGGGGTGGGGTGCTTTCTCAGCTCTCTGCGGCGATTTTGCAGGGACGGTCCCAGGTGGTAGCATAAACAATGTTGCTTTCCGGAGTTATTCGCGGGAGGGAAAGTTGAGTAGCTAGTTTTAACTAGTTTAATTCTTTCCTCGCCAATTAATCAGAGTTCTTTAGCTGGAACGGAACTCTCTTTCTTTAGTTCTTAAGGCAGTCCTTTTTAAATGATTTACCAATGGAATTGTTTCAGGGTTAGAGGGATAAAGGATTTTGCTGGAATTTGCTTCCTACCTTCTCCGAAGTGAAGTTAGGTTGACGGATGTCCCACAAACCTCTGAGTTTGTGACACCCGGAAAACGCTGAAATTCCAGACGTTCGACCGACACAGAATATCTTCTGTGCTGAAGGTGTCTCCCCTTCACAGAAGGAGTAGGTCCACCATGCCGTACCCGGGTGCCATTTGACGAACGCTGAATGGATGGGAAGGGGGAAACCCCGAAACAGAGGCTTTCCTTTTACCCCTGCTCCGAGGGGGAGCGGTGCTCTCCCCCTGGTCCCCCCACCCCGCAGCGCCTCATGACCCTACCGAGGGACCACGGGACCGTCAGGCAGGCAGCAGGGAATGCAGGCAGAGAGAGTTTATTCAAATTTCCTGCAGCTTATAAGGCTTCTGGGAGGAAGGGAGGTGTTACAAACCAACCAATTTCAGGAAAGGGTTAACAACCAATAGATGAGTTTCCAGTTATCTCTCAGACATTCCAGGGATACAGTGGGGGGTTTTGGGAACAAGAAAGTTTACACAAAGGGTCACAAGCACCATGTTGGAAACATGGTCACTTCAAGAACACCACAAACCTCTGCACTCTTTTATATCCTAAAAGCATATTGCAACAAAAAGCAAAAATCTTTGGACTTTCCTGAGCTAGGGGTAGACAGAAAAAGGCAACTTTTACATCTAACACTGTGAACCAAATCAAATTATCTCTTAATTTTGTTAAAAGTGTATAGGGATTTACTACCACAGGGTGTAAGGTTTTAGCTATCTCATTTACTGCCCTCAAATCTTGAACTAGTCTAAAAGTTCCATTTGGTTTCTTGACTGGGAGAATTGGGGTGTTAAAGTCTGACTCACAATCTATAAAAAACCCCAATTTCAAAAAGTTTTCAATTATCGGTTTAATTCCTTTTCTGTCTTCTAACCTCAATGGATATTGTTTCCTGACTACTGGCTTTGCCCCTGGTAGTAATTCTATCTTGATAGGAGTTGCCTGTTTTGACTTTACGCAGCTCATGACTAAACTCAAGGCTGCTATTAATTTTTCTTCATTCACCTGAATTTCAAGTTTTCCTTTTTCAAATTTAATCACAGCTCCCAGGTTTTCCAACAAATCCCTACCCAACAGAGGCTTTGGGGAACTAGGCAGATATAAAAATTGAGGAATTCCCATTTTTTTCCCAACTTTGTACTTGAGGGGTTTCAGAAAGAAAACCTTTTCTGCTTGGCCTGTTACTCCCACGACTTGAACAAATTCATCACTTTTAGGCACTAGTTCTTGATTTAAAACTGAAAATGTGGCTCCAGTGTCATCAGAAAGTCCAATTCTTTTTCACCTTCCCCCTAGCTCCATTTTAACCAGTCAATGGTTTGTTGCCCAGGCCTTGAGCCCTGTTAGAGAGAACTATCCGGAAGGGTATTGTTACCATTATATGGATTATATCCTCCTAGCGGCTCCTTCCAGTGAGATGCTGTCTGCCACGGAGTCCAACACCCATGCTTCTCTGAAACAGTATGGTTTGATTGTGGCTCCTGAGAAAGTACAGCGTGCTCAGCCATGGTTTTACCTTGGCATGAAGGTACTCGAATGTACCGTTCAGCCACAGGTCCTCAAATTGGGAACAAATATTAGGACTCTAAATGATGTCCAAAAATTGGCATGGAATATAAATTGGTTGCGTCCCTACCTTGACCTGACTCCATCCCAAATTCAGCCTTTACTTGATCTTCTTAAAGGCGATTCTGACCTTCGAGCTCCTCGGAAATTGACCCCCCAAGCAAAGCAAGTTATTGCTTTAGTGGAACAGTGCATGCAAACTAAACACTTATGGAGAATTGCCACTGATGTTGCAATTCATGTGTATATTCTTATCGAAAGCATGGTTCCTTTTGCCATGATTGTGCAATGGAACCCTGCCTGGCAAGATCCCCTGCATGTGCTAGAATGGCTTTTCCTGTCGGAGTGCTCTAAGAAAACAGCTCCCGGTTTGTTTGAGCTTCTGGCACAGGTAATTGTCAGAGCACGTACCCGTTGCATGGAACTTGTTGCACATGACCCTGAGGTCATCGTAGTTCCTGTGCAACTAGACTATTTTGAATGGTGCATGGCCAACAGTTCCACCTTACAAGCGGCACTGACCAATTATACTGGTACTATTAAGTACCATTTACCCTCCCACCCCCTGTGTAAATTGCACGAACAAGTTACGTTAAGTCAGAAGCTGCTTTCTTGCACAACGCTTGTGCCTGGACCCACTGTATTTACTGATGAGTCCGGAAAGACAAACAAGGCTGCTGTGGCTTGGTATGATGGTCACAGCTGGCAACACATTGTTGAACTCCAGGAAGGTTCACCCCAGATCGTCGAGTTACGCGCAGTTACTATTGCGTTTCAGCATTTTTCCTGCCCCCTCAATATAGTCACTGATTCTGCATACGTGGCTGGCTTAGTTCGACGCCTGGATAAAGCGGTCCTTCGAGAGGTTTCAAATGCCCTTTTGTTTGGGGTCCTTCGTCTGTTGTGGGAAACGATTCAAAAACGTACTAATTCTTATTATATTTTACATGTGCGCAGTCATACCACTTTGCCAGGTTTCATC